AGCTCCTAGCCTGAGAGTCACTGAGCTTCTGTCTTTCTGGTTCCAAATTTAAAAGCACAGGAAGAGCTCTGAGAACCTGTGTTTGAGTAGGATGCTCACCCTTGGGCCAGTCACCACAGTTACCAGCATGCGGCCCACCTGTGCCATGTTCTCCCCACCCGCCTCCACCAAGGAGGAGTGGGGACTGTTGAAGATGGAATCCCAATTTGAACCAGCAGGTTGGAGTCAGGCGATGACTGTTTTGAGCAGAACAAACATTAGCTGTCCATCTTACTGCTCTTCTGAGATCCCCATCTGCATATGAGACTTCCCACTCTATCTCCTTTGAATGTTTCACAGACACTTCAAATTCAAGATCTTTTCCTCATGCTTTCCCCAAACCTGATTCTCCACAGTACGGGACCCTGCTATATATCCAGTTGTTCAAGGCAGGTACCTACCTTCATCTTCTTTCTCACCCTTTATATATTTCTATTTGCTGAGCCAGGTATGTTTTGTTCCATTTCCTGTTGCTGCCTCCTCATTTAAGCCAACATCATCTCTCTTCTGAAGCCGTGACTCTACTGGTCTCCTAGTGTCCACTTCTGCCTGACTCCAGTCCACCCAGTCTCTGTACCTGCACTGTCCAACATGGCAGCCACAGGCCACATGTGGATATCTACATTTACAATTAAGATTCAGTACATTTAAAAATTCAGTACTCAGCCATAAGAAAAGAATAAAATAATGCCATTTGCAGCAGCAGGGATGGACCTGGAGATTGTCATACTAAGTGAAGTAAGCCAGAAAGAGAAAGAAAAGTACCATGCGATGTCACCTGTATGTGGAATCTAAAAATATGACACAAATGAATCTATTTACAAGCCAGAAACAGACTCATCGACATAGAGAACAAACTTCTGGTTACCAGGGGGGAAAGGAGGGGGCTGGAGTTCAGATTTTGCTGGCACTAAGTACTATATTCAAGACAAGTAAGCAACAAGATCCTCCTGTACAGCACAGGGAACTATATTCAATACCTTGTAATAGCCTATAATGAAAAAGAATATGAAAAGGAATACATATGTATCAGAAATTAACTCAACATTGTAAACTGATTACACTTCAATTAAAAAAAAAGATAGCCAGAATGCTGAAAAAAAAAAAGTTCCTCAGTTGCACTAGCCATATTTCAAGTACTCAGTGTACTTGAGTAACCACGGTAGTACTCAAGCACCTACCATGTGGTAGGTAGGGGCCACCACGCTGAGGCCCCATGAAAGATCCAACTGGAGATGTCACAGAGAAGTCTCAACTGCAGGCGGGGCACTCAGTGATCACACACCAGAGTTTGCTTTGCCCAAGCTTACAAGACACCGGAGAGACTCTGTCCTGCGTTTTCCCAGTCTCACTGGATCCCTCCTTTCCTATAACATACCATGTTCCTCTTACCTCAGGGGCTTCATAAACAAACGCTTGGCCTGTTCTTCCTCATCCTCCCACCACCCTTTTCACGAGGTGACCAGCTGGCCCAGTTTGGCCACTTGACGTCCCACATCCCAGGAAACCCCTCAGACCCAGGCACACCAGACAGGTGTCCTACCTACTCTTAACCTGGCCACCTATGACTTATCCTTCAGGTCTCAGCTTAAGCATGCTCCAGGGCCTTGCTACTCACAATGTGGTCCCTGGACTTCCACCCTAGTCCTACGCAAACAACTCTATGGTTTAACACAATACTGAGGTGGTTCAGATGACGGTTAAAGTTGAAAAACTTCAGCGAATCTGTCCTACCTTTCAGACCAGAAAAGGTACAACTGTCTTCCCCATTGGATTAAGGACTTCCCAATGGCTGGGGTGTGTCTGTCTTGTTCTCAGTGTGTCCTGAGCCCTGACTAGTGGACCTGACAAAGTGGAGAGGTTTCGTAAGTATTTCAGTGGATGAGTAAATGAAAAACCCGGATTATATGAGATAAAAATGGGTAGCCTGTGGTAGTTGATGTTGGTGTCCACCCCAGAGCCTCACAGCCCAGCTGAGTTCCCCTGAGGTGGCCGTGGACACTTCTCAGGGTGGCCCCAGCTGCTGCTGCTGCTGGTCTGCGAACCAGAGTTTGAGAACCACTGTTCCAGTGAGGCGACTCGGCTGCTTGAGGGAAGAACCGGGGAGTGTGGGAGAACCCTCAGCTGCTGGGGCACTGGACAGACACCCCAGCTTCCTGAACGTCCCTTGGCGTGATTCTGAGGCACATCCCACACTGTTTCCCAGAGGGTCCCCGGTGGGACTGAGTTCCAGCTCCTCATGGATGTTCCCTTGATGGGCTCCCTTTCCCCTTTCCCTTCTTCTTCCTTTGTGTTTCATGAGATTTTCTCACATGTAAGTTATCTGCGCCCACTCCTTGTCTCAGGCTCTGCTTGGAGGGGAACCCAAACTAAGTTGAAGTCTTTTTTTCCCCCAGTTGTATTGAGAAATAATCGGCAGACATCACTGTATAAGAGTAAGGTGTTGGGCATGATGATTTGAGTTTCACATATTGTGAGGTGATGCCCACAGTAGGTGCAGCTGACATCCATCATCTCCTGTCGACATGATAAAAAGAAAAAAAGAAGAAAAATTTCTTCTTGTGATGAGAACGCTTAGGATTTACTCTCTTAATGACATTCCTGTATATCACACAGCAGAGTTAACTGCAGTCATCGTGCTGTACATTACAGCCCCAGGACTTAAAGCCAGAAGTCTGTACCTTCCTGCCACCTTTCTCCATCTTCCCCTCCCAAGTCAGAGTCTAATAACCACATCACTCTAGGCCCCTCAACTCTCATCAGTGGGTTTCCCTGGTATATTCCTGGTATATGTCTCAGGGGGAACTCAAAGAGGCAAAACCCACTCCACAAAGAGAAGTGCACGCGCTGCGTACTCATAACGCTGTGTACTCCCTTTTGTGGCATTCAGAACAATTGTACTATTGATTCATTGTTTACATAATTATATGTTTAATATCTGCCTTTCCCACTGGACTTTGAAGGCTGGGTCTTTCCTGTTCACTATAATCCCTTGTGCCTGAAACTATACTTGGCAGATAGCAGGGATTTATTGAACACTTTGAAATGAGTGAACTAATGAACTAACACTTTCTAAAAAATTAATTAAAAAAATGTTTTTTTCAGAAGAGTTACTTAGGTTTATCTATTTTCTTTAACGGAGGTACTC